TAAAAAATAAAAATAAAAAAACACCCAGCCCAAAATATGTCACACCATTCTCAGTGCGTTCCAGCTGGATCGCATTCGGCCCTGCTCACTTTTTGGGGGGGCGAGAGGGTGGTGCATTGAACTCAATGGCACTGCAGCCATGCCCTCCGGCCGCAATGCGATCAGCTGCACAAGAATGTGTGGCACATCAGTGCCTGCGTTCTGGTCCAGTGCAGAAAAAGTAGTGCACGCAAAGTGAGCCGGCCGGAATGCAATCCAGTGTGTTCCGTCCACAATCAGGCTGGAACGAACTGAGGCTGGTGTGAACTAGCCCTAATAGTTTGATCTGGAAACCTGTTTAATTGCATGTTATAGTGTAAAAAAACTGTGGAAGTGGTGGGGTAACCTAGGTACATATAATGGACCTCAAGTGCACTTCCAGAAGGCTCCACAATAGCTTACTTTTTATAAGCTATGTTTATTGGAAGGGCATAAATAACATCTAAAAGTATTCCAACTTTTTTTTAGGACAATCAAGTGCCATTCTAACATGCTTTTGAGTGTTGTCCCCCAAGCAACTTCCCTGATTGGAGATAAAATATGTGACAAAATCTGGATGTTTACATTTAGTAGTGCGCTAAAGTTCTTCTACGGTAGCCCCTGGCTGCCATAGAGTAGAAAGACTTCTAAGCACAAGTGAAGGGTCAAACAACATTTCAATAAAGCCCAGCTGAAGTTTCCATTAAAAAAAATAACTCAGGATTCAGCCAGACAGTAACTTGACTAAGGTCTTCTATTTGTTTGACTGGTGTGAAAGCTGCTACAGGGAGAAAATCAGCCTATCCCCTGGTATTCAGCTGCATATAAAATACACTGCTCTCTGCGTGGATGGGCGGGGCGCAGGACTGAGGGGGGGCACCATCACCGACCCCCGCTAAACGAAGCCCCTGGCCGCAGATGCAGTGGCTCCCTCTCTCTGCCACATGCACCCGGCTCTGTCATCGGGCGGCCAAGTCCCAGCATGCCCTCATTGCCCCTGTACAACAACCAGATATTGCCGTTCACTGGGTGATATGTGTGTGTGTGGGGGGGGGGTGTACAGGGACAATGATGGCATGCTTGGACTTGTAGTTCCTTAGCTGATATATATGTGTGGGGTACAGTTCCAGTGGATGTTTATATAATATGGGGGAGGGGAATTTTCGGCCCCGGGCGCCCACTTGTCCAAAATGCTGCTTGTTAGTCATAAGTGCAGCTCTGAAATCACCAATGAGCATGAATGTATTAAATAACACAAGAAACTTGCAAAAAAAAAAAAAGGCACAAAACTGATGCGTCTGTGGTAAGCTTAAAAAGGTAGGTTGTTGTCACAGGAGAATGGAAACTGAAGCTACCCAAAAGCGTTACAATATTGCAGAAAAAAGCTGTGCCCACTCTCAAAATGAAGCTGAATTCCAGGCAGATATCAATGTAGCTCTGTAAAACATTCTGTAAGTACCTTATGTAAGTACCAGAATCAGCTTCTTGTAAATCTCTATTCAGTAGAGCTAGGATAGGGAGAAACAGTACAAAAACTAGTTAGTTTGTTATAGTGCTTATATGCAGGGGCTGACTGGCAACATTTAGCCCAGGGGACAAGTACAATCCAGAGGCCCATGGTGCAGCAACCTGGCCCCCCTCCCACTCTGCCTCTTCCCCACCTTCTCCCCGCCCCTGTCTGCCACTTTTGCCATCCATGTAACGGTAGTGTGAATGGTCGGGTGATGCGAGGACTCTTAGTAAGTCCATGAAAGGGACGACTGGCTGGGGGATGGTGCTCTCCTCTCACTGGGCTCCCTACATGGTTCTGGCCTTACTCCGCTCCATGTCCGGTACTTAGGCACTCTCGCTCACTGTAGACTGTTGCTGGCTGTCCATGCTTCTGGGCTGTGTGCAGTGGGAGGTTAGTGGGAGGGGCTGGTTAGTGTCAAAGTCAGTGTTCTATAATTTTTCTCGACTGAGTGTCACTTCCAGTGGGGCCGAGTCAGCTGTTTTCATTACCCCCTTTCTTCATGACATGCGCACCTGGAAGTGACACGGCAGAGAAATTTATTGGTTGAGGAACATTGAAGCACACTGGTAGTGGAGGGATGCCTCGTCAGTGTCGTGCGCGTGTACGACTGCTGCGACCCTGGTAGTTCTGCCACTAACTCCAAGCTGTAGAGGGACTACAAATCTCAGCACATTATACAACAATGTAGAATAATACCACCAGCTATAGAGGACTATAAATCTCAGAAATACATTGTACAGCATTGCAGAATGGCATTGGCTATAGAGAACTACAATTCCAAGCAATACATTACACAATGCAGAATACCATCAGGTACAGAGGACTATAAATTCCAGCAATAATGACTACCAACAACTATAGAGAACTACAATTTCCAGCCATACCATTATATAGCAATGCAGAACAGCATCAGCTATAGAGGACTACAAATCCCAGGAATACATATTACAGCAATGCAGCATAATATGAAGCTACATACTCTGTTGCTCTGGGTTCGCTGCCTGATGTCTCCAGGGTCTCAGGAGGGTTGTGCGGGCTCTCACCAGGGGTCCAGAGTTTCAAGGGTGAGTCTGTGTGCAGCAGAGGCGGCTCCCTAATTAGGCTCTCAGGTGGCCAATGCGGACTGTCAGGTGGTAATTGCGGGCTCTCTGCTGGTCAGTGCGGGATCTGTGATGGCCAGTGCGGCTCCCTAATAATTAGTGGTGGCTCTCTGGTAGCTCGCCAGGTGAGTAGTGGGGCTCCACTGTGGCCAGAGGGGGCTCCTTGGTGGTTAGTGGGGGATCCCTGGTGTAGGGTGACCCTTCATCTAGAGCTGCAGCTAACGATTATTTTCAAAATCGCTTAGTCGAATATTAGGTTCGATTAACCGGTTAATCGTGATTTTAAAAAAAATGGCTCTGGTGATGGACTACTAGTTTGTATTGCGATTGTAGTCCATCACAGGAGCAAGCTTGGAGCGGTGGAAGAAAAAAGTGTGGTGTGCAATATAGTGAAATGGAAAGTGTAAAATTATACAGCAATTAATGCAGAATGGCGCCGACTATAGAGGACTACAAATCCTAGTAATAGTACATTATACAGCGCAATGCAGAATACCACCAGCTATAGAGGAATACAACAAATCCCAGCAATAGTACATTATAGCTGGCGGTATTCTGCATTGCGCTGTATTATGTACGATTGCTGGGTTTTGTAGTACTCTATACAGCACAATGCAGAATACCACCAGCTATAGAAGAATACAACAAATCCCAGCAATATATTATACATACAGGGTATAATGTATTGCTGGGATTTGTATTCCTCTATAGCTGATGGTACGTTGCTCTGTATAATATACAGTACAGCACAATGTACCATCAGCTACAGAGAAATACAAATCCCACTACCCCAGCAATACATTATAGAGCACCATGTGGGGGGTGAAGTGCAGGCTTACCTGAGCAGTCTTCCATCAACTTGCTTCTGAGATTGGGCCTGTCTGTTGGCAGCTGTCATCCCCTCACGCCTGCTCCTCCTTACTTCTTCTCCCCACGTCCCTGTGCCGATCGTGGATGTGGGCGGGCGGTGGGTGTAAGGCGGGGAGGAGGTGAGGCGTGTGGCGTGGATGCGGGCGGGTCTGGCAGCGGCAAGCGTGAGGCAGGGAGGAGGTGTGGCGTGTGGAGCATGGATGCGAGCGGGTCTGGCAGCGGCAACCGTGAGGCGGGGAGGAGGTGTGGCGAGTGGAGCATGGATGTGGGCGGGTTGGTTTGGCAGCGTCAAGCGTGAGGAGGTGCGGCACGCGGTGTGTGTGGAGCCGTGAACAGGGTCAACTAATCGAAAGCCGATTAATCAATTGAAAATATTTACAACTTTTTCAGTCAGTCATCGATTATAATCGACTTAGTGGATTCGTTGTTGCAGCCCTACATTAATCCTAATCCCGATTTCTGGGGACAGTCCCCGGATTGAGGAGACCATCCCCTTACAAATTATGTCCCAGGAACATAAAATAAAACTTGGATCCACCGACAAGCGCAGCCTCCCGTCTCCCACGCTGTCAGAAGCTGCATACAGCGTGTGCTGGTTACTACTTAAACCGGCGCGCGCTGTGTGCAGTTTCTGAGAAGATATGCTATTAGCGTAGTGAGGAAGCCGGCTGTGCATTTTACATAGGTCCCGATATGCTAACAGCTTCTGACAGCGTGGGAGACGGGAGGCTGCGCTTGTTGGTGGATCCAAAAAAAGTTTATTTTAAAAATTGTGTCACCTTACCTTAGCCTGGTGGTCAGTGGGGACTCCATTGACCCTGGTTGTGGGGGGGGGGGGTCTGCCTCCTCTCTGCCACCTGCACCAGGCCGGCCTGCCCACCCGCATCAGATGTGGCTCTGTAATTGGCAGCCGCTCGCTCCACAAGGGGGTCCTCGGGAGGCCCCAGCGGACGGCCCTCTAACATGCCTGATTAGAGGGCAGCGTCTGCCTGATCCAGCCAGCCCGGATCGCATACCGAGGCAGGCCGTCCGGGTGCAGGTGGCAGAGGGAGGGAGCCACTGCACCTGCGGCTTCATTTACCAGGGGTCGGTGACGGGTCCCCTGACGGCCGCGGGCAAGGGCCGTTTTTAAAGGCATTAGAGAGGCCCGGGGAACAATTGCCACCCTGCCCCCCAGCCCAGTCCGCCCCTGCTTATATGCTAACAAAGAACGTGCTGAAGAGAGGGTGGAGTGGCCGAGAGATAAGCTCATTAGTGTGCAGATATCTCTCTCCTGAGAACATTACTTAAATTAAGTCTCCTTTCCTGAATGAACAAAAATACAAATCCTTTGGCAGGTAAAAACAGCTCCCATAAATTAATTGCACCTATGTATTTAGCTATTTGCCTGGAGTTCAGGTTTACCTGTTCATAAACAGACATACTCTATGTTTGTAAGCAACACATTACGTTTTTTTATACAGCAATACATATAAAATACTATAATTTTGTCCCCTTACCTTTAGTAGTCTGTAATAATGAACAGGTACATCTTCCAGCACACAGGACTCTCTAATGAAATTTAGCACAGCTTCCTTTACAGACATTCCTTGAAGTTCCTTGTGCACCTCAGGAGCATGCTTCAATATATAACCAGTCCCTCTTTTTGCAATTATCTGTGAAAAATGTCAAACAGAGTATATTTAATCGTTCTCTATTTGCAGAATAAGATATATCTCATGCAAATTCTAACCATGATGTTGGATTTTGCTACACATTGATTTTGTTTTTAAGCACTTGAGTGGTAATTTGTCTAAACACCTTTCTAAAATGGTGCTGGGACTAGAGATGTAAAATTTCTGGAAATTTTGAAGCCATGAAAAATATACTTTTTTTTCACTGTTTTTTTTCTTTAAAAAAATGGAAATTTTTAGGAAAAATTGAAAACAATTCAGTGTGGAGTCATTTTACAAATTGAAAGTCTTTTGTTACACTAGGAACGTGAAATGCAGTGTATATAAAAGTATTATGCTTGAAATAAAAGTACAGCTTATTCAGTAAATAAACTAAACTTGCTTTTTAAAATTTTATTTTAGATTTGCAAATTGCTGCTTTGCTCTCAGCAGAAGTTGCAGTGTGGAAATGTTTCCAAACTCTAGATGTTGGTCTCACCATTTTACTGAGAGGAGGAAAAAAAAACAAAAACTATTTACTGACCAACTATGGGTAAAACATTATACTGTGATGGTGTAGAACATTATTTAAATGTTATAAAGATAAACTAATCTGTCAGACAAATGTACCCTCTTATCTGTCAAGGCCTAAAAGGACAGAAACTATCATCTACCATCATACCAACAGTCACCTAACTGTAGGAAGTACAAGATAGAGCCCATAAGATAACTAAACTGGAGCCTTTTCTCTGCAGTGCCCCTAGTGGCAGAAATGTATTTTTCTTTTTAAGTTTGAGAACTGCATTGAGAAGTACAGTGTTAATTGCATTGTATTCCAGGATGTGCTTGTCTTAAAGGTGAGAGAATGTGCAATAATTTAAGACTTTACATAATGTCCCAGAAATCTTTCATTATGGTCTTCATGTTATATAGTTTGGTTTAATCTGATTTTATTAAAGTGTTTCAATTTTCATTACAAATCACAATAGACATGTTTACATAGGTAATATCCACACAAACAAAACAATAACAAACAAATAGGGAAATAGAGGCAAAGAGGGTTACACCCCTCGGGGGTACACCGTATACCAAAGTAACATATAAAGTGACAAACTCAGACCCTAGACTAGGTCCATGGTCCTATATGTAGAAACAAGCAGCGTGTATGTACAATGGTAAATGGTAATAGCTGTGTATAGTAAGTCTGCTATCATAGTGTTATACACATGTTTGCCTGCCTAAGAGCTCTAGGGATACCATTGTAGGACCACATATGCATTCGTCCATCATAGTGAGAGTCTGAGATTGAGGCTAGGAGATATCAAGACATTGGGTTCGGGTGCAAACTGAAGCATGAAATTAACCTGGTTAGAACCCCTAGCGAAAGAAGAGGAGAGAGAGAATGAAAGCAGCAGGGTGAGGTGAGTGGATTAGTCAGAGAAGAAGCATGAAAAAGAAATACAGAGAAATTAAAGAAAAAGGAAAGGAGGGGGGAGGAGGGTAAGGGCGAAGAGGATGAGTCAAAGAAGGATTCGGTCCCTGCCATAGATTCCCTCCACCTCAGTACACCAGGGAATCCAACAGAGACAGCCTCCGTAAAGGCAGCAGATTCTCTGAATGAGATCCAGACAGACCAGACGTGTACATATCCAGGGCCAGTTCCTTGCTCCTCTGCCAAGAGGCCCTCCAGGTCGGCTATGCGGTCCATCTCCATGGCCCAATCAACCAGAGTGGGGACCACCTGCGTTCGCCAGTGTCGTGGGATGACCGTCCTAGCAGCTGTGAGAAAGTGTCGCAGGAGGCCTCACTTTGCCGCTTTCAGGGAGCCAGGATGCATCGAGAGCAGCAGTATCTTAGGGTCATTATCTATTGCAGTACCTGTCACCTTAAGGTAGGTCACCTTAAGGTAGAACCCCAAAATCCCCTGCCAGAACTCCTGAAGCGTAGGACAACTCCACCAAATGTGTGTCATATGACCCAGAGATTCTTTACAGTGCCAACATACATTAGCGGTAGCCGGGTACATACGGTGGAGGACTGCCAGGCACCTGTACCATCTGGTTAGGATTTTTACTGGCAATTGAGAGGGAGTGCATGAGAACAAACGATTGCTCCCATTCCGCCTCCGTCACGGAAACCCCCAGCTCTGGTTCCCACACCTTTGTGTTGGCTGGAAGAGTGGGGGAAGCGGAAGCCGAGAGGATTGAATAAATGAGGGATACCGAGTGTGTCTGGGGCATAGTGGCCAAAAGTAAAGAGTCGAAAGCTGTGGGGTCTGCAGAGAAGCATTCTGTCGTGGGGAAGGAGGCGACAAAGGAGCGAAATTGCCCCTCTGCCAGCCAAGTTCCCCTAGGAATGGCCAGAACACTCAACCGTGTGTTGGGCCTTCAGGGCAGAGGCCAGGAGACGGTGGGTGGCTCTATCCCAGCGACCCATCGTGGTCTCAGCCAATGCTGGGGGGAAAGCCAGGTTGCCAAAGAGTGGAGTCATCGGGCCCAGATAAGAGGAAATGCCCAGGCGAGCGATATATTGATCCCACAGTTTGAGAGTGTGCGAGGTCAGAAGAGGGAAAGTGGTGGGCTTGGCCCTTGAGTTAGGTGGTATCCAGGGCAGGGCTTGTAGGTCAGCAGCTGCAAGGGTTCCCTCCAGGCTGACCCATTGTTTGTCTCCAGCTCGATGGAACCAGTCTACAATGCGGACCAGCACCGGAGCTCTTTCCAGCGTGCTGGCTCCCCCTCATCACTTTGGTAGGGTCAGAGTTTTGTAGCAGAGTCTGGGGCGGGAAGGTCCCAATACAAATTTCGTGAAGGTCTGTTGGATGTCTCTCAGGTACTCAGTAGGGAGGGCAATAGGCAGCGTCTGGAATAAGTATAGAAATTTAGGGACAATGTCCCATCTTGGACACATTTATCTGGCCTGGCCAGGATAAGGAGTTTACGGTTGTAGGAAGTCAGGTCCCTAGTTACTCCCACAAGCAAGGGGCGAAAGTTCAAGGAGTACAGGTCAGCCTAAATATTTCAATGAAGCGGGGCACACTCGGAAGGAGAAGTTGCTGGTGAGGAGGTGAAGGTCTGCGTCCCCCAGAGAGAACTTAAGGAGCTCAGATTTAGAAATGTAGACCCGGAAGTTACTCAGAGCGCCAAATCGCTCGAATTCCTTTAGGATCGTGGGCATAGTAATATGAGGCTGGGTCACATAGAGCAGCAGGTCATCGGCAAATAAAACAAGTTTTGAACTGTGGGGGCCCACTGATATGCCCGGGAATGTCGGATTCTGACGGAGTGCAACTGCCAAATGCTCCATAGTGAACACGTATAGAAGGGGAGATGATGGACAGCCCTGCCGAGTGCCATTTGTGATCTGAAAGCTAGGATAGAGAGTGTGCCGTTGACACGAACCCGGGCCGACGGGCGGGAGGGCCAGGAGGGTCAGCATATTGGAGTGCAAACCCAGTTGCGTCAAGGAATGTTTAAGGAAGGTCCAGTCTAGACGATCAAACGCTTTATCGGCTTCAACAGAGAAGAGGCCTAGAGTGGTGTCGCACGATTGGGCATAATGCATCAGGAGTAAGGTCCGAATAGTATTGTCCCGGGCCACCCTGACCTGGACAAACCCCACCTGGTCAGGGTGGATCACTCCCGGCAGAAGGGGCTGCAGCCGGGTAGCAATCATTTTGGCAAACAATTCCACATAAACATTGATTAAGGAGATCGGTCTATAGTTCGTACAAAGAGTATGATCTTTATGCGGTTTAGGGATCAATGTGATGCGAGCCTCCAAAGCCTGTCGTGGGAACGACGCTGCCTGAGTCACGGAATGGAAGACCCGAAGCAGGAAGGGGATAAGTGAGTCCTTAAACTGTTTATAGAAGCGCACCGTAAAGCCGTCGGGGCCGGGAGACTTGCCCGCAGGTGCGGACTTGAGGGCCGTGAGTAACTCATGTATGGTGAAAGGCGACTCCAACGCCTCTGCATCCGGGTCCGTCAGCACAGGGAGGGCAGTGTCATGCACATAGGTGAACACCTTTGCATCATGGTCTGAGGACTCCTCCTCTGGTCTCGGGGGATTATACGGTGAGCTGTAGAACTCCGTGAACGCACCCCGGATATCAGTAGGGGAATGCATTAGGATGTCCTCCCGGGAACGGACATGGGGGATGTAGGTGTGTACAGCTCTTGGATGTAGCAGCCTCGACAGAGCTTTCCCACACTTATTACGCGTCTCGTACCCCCTGGTTTCAACTTTAGCCCAGTATGTACGTGTCGCCAGGTCAAGGAGGCTGAGTAGGCGCATGCGAGTCTGGGAGGTGCGGAGCAGAAGCTCCAGAGAGGGAAATCTCTTGCGTTGGGTCTCCAAGTCTGTGAGGTGTTGGATGGCCTCCCGGATTTTCCTAGACCTTTCCCTCTTCAATCTGGAGCCCTGCTGGATCAGAACCCCCTGCAGGACTGCCTTCAGCACCTCCCACTGAAGAGGGAGAGGGGGTGAGTCAGACGTACGGACGGCTAGAAATTGGGTAATACCCTCCCGGAGAGCGGAGACACAGCTTTGATCCGACAGCGAGGATTCATTCAATCTCCATGGCCACTCCCGAGTTGGGGCCAGCGGGACCTGCAGGGACAGGGTGACCGCAGCATGGTCCGACCATATCATGGGACCAATGTCGCATGAAGTAACCCAGTCCAACAAGGGATGAGAGACGTAGAAATAGTCAATACTAATAATGGAGTGATGGGGCGTGGAAAAATGTGTGGAGTTCCGCATTTAAGGGTATATAACTCTCCAGGTGTCTACTAAGCAGAGGCACGAGAGCTGTTTCCGGATCTTTTCGGATTTTGGCAAAGGAAAGGGCAGAGCGGCCAGTGGACGAGTCCATGCCAGGTTCCAGGGTCAGGTTAAAGTGCCCCCCACAAGCAACTGTCCCTTCACATATTGCTCCAGCTCTCTGAAGAGCCTGAGAGTGCGGAGGCAGCCTGGTTCGTATTAGGGAGGTAGAAATTTGCCACAGTGTAGGTCTGACCCCAGAGCGATATCTTGAGCCACTGATACCGACCAAACTCGTGCGCCCTATGGTCCAGGACCACAGCCAGGAGGGACTTGTGGATGGCGATAGAGACCCCCCGCAAATTTTGGATGGCGTTGGTACTGTGGTACCAAGAGGTGAAATACCTATTGGCACAGGAGGGAGCATGGCCAGTCTGGAAATGTGTCTCCTGAAACAGGGCGATGTGCACCTGGGTAAAGGATTTGCCCCCTTTTGGATGGGATATTAAGAGCCCTGGCATTATAAGTGCAGAGGCGTAGTTCCGACGGGGTGACTATAGGTGGGGCCAATAGAAGACCAGGGCAGTGGTCAGGGATAGAGGGAATAGGGCCCTAGGGGGTAGAGATACTGAGAGGGCTAAGCAATGGACTATAAGTGGGTAGAAAGAAAGAAAAGCGGGAGTAAAACCAGAGGGTAAGTTAAAGAAGGAAGGGGGTCAGAGGAGGAAAAGTAGTAAAGAGAGCACAGATGTGGGATAGACAAAATCTAAAAAAACTAAAATGGGTGGCCTACGCCGATACGGAGAGAACAAACTTCTAGTCAAAGCTAGATTACAACGGTCTCCATGGGAGACGTGATGCCTATGCGGGGAGAAGTGGTTGAGGATGAAGGCGCGAGGTTTTGTACAATTGTGTACACCACATTGAGAACTGTACCCAGTCCTGACATTCAATTAAACCCAGCAGAACAGTGACTCCCTCCC